ATGTTGTAATGTAGAAATAATAGATGGTTGGAAACTTTGGTATAATTGCGTTATAGATAATGGAAAACGTAATAATGACTTAATGATAAGGTAGAGTATACGATAATAAGTTGATGATTTATGATAACTAGAAAATATAATGATGAGTTATGATAATAGATAACGGGATATATAATGATGATATTTATATTATCGTATACATAATGTGATTTATGATTAATTGAGAACGCATAGTATGACTCATGTATGAGATACGCATAAATGGAACGTAGATAAATGATGATGTATGATAATAATAGGAATTACGATAAATAATTGAATGATTATTGATAATGGAATGATTAATAATGATTATGGATAATGGAAACGATATTACTCCGATGATTATATGATAATAGAAACGATAATAATGATGATTTATGAATAGATCGGAAACGATAATAATTGATTATGGATAATATATAGTAATGATAATGATAATGGAATGATAATAATGATGATTATGATAATAGAAACGATAATAATTCGATGATTATTGATAATGAAACGATAAATAAATGATTATGATAATATGAAACGATAATAATTGATTATGATAATAGAAACGATAATAATGATGATTATGATATTATCGATAATAATGATGATTATGATAATAACGATAATAATGATGATTATGATATATCGATAATATTGATAATTATGATAAAACGATAATAATGGAATTATGATGATAATAATGATTTATGATAATGAATTATGAATTATCAATAATGATGATATATGATAATAGAAACGATAAATAATGATGATTATGATATTATCGATAATAATGATGATTATGATAATGGAAACGATAATAATAATGATTATGATAATAAAACGTAATAATGAAATGATATGAAATTAACGATGATAATGATGATTATGATAACAGAAACGATAATGATGAGGATTATGATAATATTAACGATAATAGTGATGATTATGACAATAGAAACGAGAATAATGAGGATTATGATAATTGCAACGATAATTGATAATATGAACGATAATAATGATGATTATGATAATAGAAACGATAATAATGATGATTATGATAATATTAACGATAATAATGATGATTATGATAATAATGGTGATAAGGTAATTTTTACTGGTAATGATGTTGACGGTCATGAAAAAAATCATTAGGTAAAGACTAAATTTGTTTAATGATGATTAATATCAATCCCTTAATTACAGTTGATTAAATATCACATTTGTCGTTAATTTTATCCTTTCTCCATTATTTTTTTTGTGTGTGTGTCAAGCTACACTAGGGAGTCACAGGCGTGGTGGTCGTTGAACCCGTGGTCGTTGTAGGGGTGGTTGGGGAGGTCGTACTCGATGGGGTGGTCGTTGTAGGGGTCGTTGGGGAGGTCGTACTCGATGGGGTGTCGTTGTAGGGTGGTTGGGGAGGTCGTACTCGAGGGTGCGTTGTAGGGGTGGTTGGGAGGTCGTACTCGAAGGGTGGGTCGTTGTAGGGGTTTGGGGAGGTCGTACTCGAAGGGTGGTCGTTGTAGGGGTCGTTGGGGAGGTCGTACTCGATGGGGTGGTCGTTGGGGAGGTCGTACTCAAAGTTGTGGTCGTTGTAGGGGTCGTAGGCGAAGTAGTACTGCCGGGTGTGGTCGTGGTCATGGTCGTCGTAGTAGTGGAGGAGGCGGTGGTCGTTTCCTCTTCCTCGCACCGCTCCCTGCTACGACCTCTCTCCTTACTACGACTTCTCTCCCTGCTACGACTTCTCTCCTTGCTACGATTTTTGCACTTCCTCTTTCGCTCCTTGCTGTGGCCGCGCTGGGGGGGGGGGGAGGGAGAGAGGGGGGAGGTTAAGCCTTTTGTTTTTTTTCAAATTCATCTTTAATTCAAATCTACTTGTTTTTTTGTTTTGTTTTGTTTTGTTTTTTATTGGTTAAGTTCATCCTATTGATTTACATTATTTGTGCTTTTTTTCATTCGTTTATTGAATTGTTATTGTTATTATTAATCTTTTTTGATTTATGATTATTTGTCTTACTGCTTGGTATTTATTTATTTCATTTTATTCCTGGATATTAATCACATGAAGGAAATAGATAAACAGACATGATCGATTTAAACGGCCGCCACACACACACGCAGACACACAAACACAAATACATATAAACACATACACACAAACACACACACGCGCACACGCAGGCACACGTAAATACAAACACACACGCACGCACGAAGACACACAAACACAAATACATATAAACACATACACACACACGCACACACACAGGCACACGTAAACACAAACACACA